TGGACTCTATACCCCTCCCTGCCCTTACACCCTCTCAGATTGTCACTCTTAATGCCCCCTGTACTTTAGAGGAAATAACATGTGCGATAGGCGCGCTCAAGCGCTCTACTGCGCCGGGTCCTGACGGATTTACCGCTAGCTATTATAAACATTTTGCCTCTACATTGGCTCCATACTTGATAACTTTATTTAATGATGTTTTGCAGGGGGTAAGTTCCCTGAGGAGATGTTATTGGCTAACATGTCTCTAATACCCAAGCCACAGAAGGACCACTGTTTGCCACAAAACTATAGACCAATCTCAGTCATGAATAATGATCTAAAGATATTTAGCCGTATTTTGGCGGACCGGTTGGCCCCTATCATCTCCTCTTTGGTTTTCTCCAGACCAGTCGGGTTTTATTCCCGACAGATTTATTACTGATAACATTCGTCTCACTCTAAATGTTATTCAAGACGCCAATTTACATTCCAAAGAGGTTCTGTTGATGAGTTTGGATATAAACAAGGCCTTTGATAGTGTTCTTTGGCCCTACTTGTTCTCCTTGCTACAGAAAAATGGGCTTCAGCGAGGGGTTTTTTGGCAGGCATACATGCCCTGTATGACTCTCCTAAAACGAGAATTAGGCTTCCTGGCTGTAACTCTGACTTCTTTACATTGGGTAGAGGTACCCGCCAGGGCTGTCCTCTTTCACCCCTTTTATTTGCGCTGGTGTTGGAACCTTTGGCATTGGCGATTAAATCACATTCGGATATTTCTGGCTATTCATTATTAGTTTCACATTTTAAACTGAGCATGTATGCTGATGATGTTATGCTTTTTATTACTAACCCGTTGACTTCTTTACCTAACTTGTGTGCTGTATTGAACGATTTTGCCAAAGTGTCAGGTCTCACCGTTTAATTTTACCAAATCTGTGGTCATGCCTGTTAATGTTCCTGACTCCCTAAGTGCATCTCTCCGTAGTTCTTTCCCATTTCGCTGGGTCAGGGACAGGATATCCTATCTGGGGATTAACCTCACTCCCAGATACTCGGATATATTTGCGGCTAATTATCCACCATGTGTATCGTGTCTCTCTACTCTACTTAAGATCTGGCACGGTTATCATATCTCCTTTCTGGGTAGAGTCACGGCGGTTAAAATGAATATTTTGCCCAAATTGCTTTATCTTTTTAGAGCACTTCCAGTTCCGGTCTCAAAAACGTTTTTGTATCATTTTCAGCGGACTATTAATAATTTTATTTGGGGAAATAAGCATCCACGTTTTGCCTCATCCATTTTGTATCGCTCACAACGGTCGGGAGGTCTCGGTCTTCCTAACTTTTGGCTATATTATCTCTCGGCTCGTTTTGCGCAATTGTCACAATGGGCTACTATTAACTCTCAAATCCCGTGGATCAAGTTTGAGTCTCAGTCGATACGTCCTTTTTATTTTATGGTCTAACATCTCCCCCCGATCGACTGTTTTTCATAACTCCATAGTGACTCACTCACTGACGCTTTGGTCCAAACACAAATCTAAATTGGGTTTAGTCTCTCCTATTCCCCCAGGTGTGTCATTTTTTGGGGATCCTACTTTTGTTGTAGCCTTTTCTTCCCCTCATATGTTTCGTTGGTGGTATGATCGATCTTTTATCAGATTATCTGATTTCCAAAGAGGAGGATCTTATATTACCTTTGATATGCTGCGCGTGTTGTTTGATGTTCCTCTTCGTGAGTACCTTCGTTATAGACAGATTAGGCACTTTTTTAAGGCGCACTTTGGCCTTACCCCATCCCTCTCCGATTTCCTTTTTTGAACGTATCAGCCGTGACTCTCCCAGGGGTAGGGGTCTTATCTCAAATCTTTATCACCAATCTTTGTCCCCGGGGGGCGGGGACGCTGATGATGGTGAACTCGGCGCCTGAGGTGGCAGTGAAGGAGCCCCTTTAATCCTTGCAGCCCTAGTGATCCCTGTGTCAGTTCCTGTGGAGGCTTATCCAGATTGATACTTCTCTGACCTGCTGGACCACCTTTTCACCACATGAGGGCGGTTAGGATTACCATCTTTCCCAGCCATTTCTCTGACCAGACCTGAGAGGAGAGGGGAGTCTTCAGGATATATATATATACATGCGTATTACCCATACGCTTTCTGGTTAGTTTGAATTTCTACCATTTGCACTGGGAATCACGGAGCACTGTTTTCACCGGACTGTGTCTATTGTTAATTTTCTTTAAGAGCGCTGCATTCTGTCTATATATTAATTTTTTTTATTTCCAGTACAATCTGACTGCTCTCTGTATCTCAAAACTGTAGACCTGTCCAAAAGTGTATAAAAAGGAGCACTGCAAATCCATCTTTCGTCAGGGAGAAAAAAACCCATTTTTTCTTGTAAGATGCAATCTGTTTGCTCTCCAGCTCACATATAGTAGCCTGTCCAAACAGGCTAAAAGTATTGTATTCTACTAAATCTACAAATCCACTAAATCTTCAAATCTACTAAAATGTTCTGTCTTGGTAAAAAAGGAACCCTTTTCTTATTTCCAGATGCAATTTACTTGCTCTTTCCCTCAGCTATAGCAACCTGGCCAGAAAGGCTTACAAGCCATGCAGCAAATCTGTAAAATTTGTTCTTTCTCAGTCTGTGAAACAGGAACACAATTAGTTATTGCAAGATACAATATGTTCCTCTTAAATTGCAGCTTATCTAATCAACGTTTCCAATCAAAGATGCGGTGCAAATCCATACAATATTTATCTGTTTTAATTAAAACATTTTTTTTTTATTTTCAGATGCACTATGTCTGCTGTATCCCTCACAAAGAGCAGCATTTCCAAAAAGGCCTTGCATTTGTAATGTGTAATCTTCTCCATCTTTTCTGTCTGAAGATGTTCAGAAGTTTTAATAGTTGTGGTGTCTGTACCCTTTTACCATCTCCTCAAAAAAACAATCAATTTTCTTTTTCCAAATGCAATTTGCTTGCTCTTTCCCTCAGAATTTGAAGTTATCCAATAAAGACTTCAAAGGTGTTCTGCAAATCTGTCTACAAGTTCTTTATCCACTGTGCCATATGTTTGGCTGTTGTCTCTGAAACATTGAATTGCAATTTTGTTTGTTCAGCATAACAGCAGCCTCGTCTTTGGAATGTGATTTATGGCTTTGAGTTGTTTTGGTTCACTCTAGGTTGACATTTTCAGAAATTTTGGACACAATGCCGTGCGGTACTAAAAAGATCACATGCAATGTGATTTGCTTTAACACTGGCTCTTTTTTTTAAGTTGATAGCTTTAGGTAAATTTTTTCCAAACCATATACTTTCTGATATAATTTGGATATATTGCTTCCACTATTTTGACTGCTCAATTGTGATCTATCACTGCTACACAAAAAAAATCAGTTGTCTTTTTGGAGTGGAAATCAGTCACATTGGGTTGCTGCTAATGTATATATGCCAAAGAATAATGTAAAAGTTAAATGGGACATGGATTCAGCTTTAAAACTTTGGTAAAGAGATTAAAGTGAGGAAAAATCCTTAATTTCCCTCACCATACAAAGATACAGCATCCTTCTCACATCTACAGAAGAGGAAGTGAAGCCAAATATCCTAAATGAGACACATATGTAAAAAAAAAATCTCTACTTGAGATAAACTTGCATATAATTTTCAACACTCCACAGTGAGCAGGGTTTATTGACATATGAAATACTAATTATATTCTTGTCCACAATAAGAAGAAAATACATTGACAACATCTGAAGCCTTGACTGCATATCAGGCTTTAGATCTAGATCATCACTGATTCTCTGTACTTCACTATGCAATGCAGGAAGAGCTTGGCTGGTTGAGGGTACTGCAAGGTGATATTCATAACTTCCATGCCAACCTGTCAATGATTAAGTTTTATTTCCAGAAAATGTAAGACACTGGACAATCTATCCAAACTTTGTGTACAAGGCAATGCTGAAATACTCCAGATTGTGGAGACTGTTATACTGTATGCCCAGGATTTTAATTGTCTGGAGTTGTCTGGTATATATAAAAAATCCAAGTGCTCATAATTGTATCCTGACAGCCCAGATTGAAGCAAGTGACTCTGTCAAGGCAGACATATGGATACTGCCATTGCTTGTTTTCTGTTATTTAGATTTATATATTCTTCAAGATAATCTATTAACAGCATACTTCCAAAGCATCAGAGTACCAGCTAAAGATAAAGCTGTTACAAAAGGAATGCAATAATTGCAGCCTTTATCAATTGCAAGGCAAATATCCATGCACCAGAGCATCCATCTTTCACAGTGGAAGATAAATGCACAATTAACAAATAATCCAACGGCAGTTACATGGCTGAGCCAAAAGCTAACACAATATTACTGTCTGGCTACCAGACATGTGCAAGTATGCCTTTCCATACTCCTTTTGGTCTGCACTTTGTTGGATTCAAATCTGTTGATCCTATTTTCATATTGAATAGTACTGTAATTTGCACTTATAAGATGTACGCTACTTTCCTTAATATATATAGCTAGCAACTTTTTGCTTTAAAAGTAACCTGTTTGCATACAAAATCAGTTTCAAATCGTAGCATACCACTATCTACCTGGAAATTTTCAGAAGCCACAGGTACATTCTAAACCACGATAATGAAGCTGGCATTTCTTTTCCAAGCTGCTATGTTGGACTACCAACAATCATTTGGAGGTTCATAAATGCACCAACACATTCATTAAAGGATCCATGAGGTAGCATGGGCCTGATGAATTCACAACAGTAATCAACCCTAACTGGTCTCTATAGGAGACACTATTAACATAACAGCCTAGCAGTTTTATATATTAACCACCTCCCGCCCGCATTATAGTCCAATGACAGGCGCAAGGTGGTTCTCTCGTTCGTCATATGACGTCCTCCCATTCTCACTCACGCATACGCGGCTTAGGGAGCGCGCAGCGTGGCAATTGGCGTTGCGCTGTGTCCCTCGGATACAGCGGATCACCGATCTATGGAAAGAGCCGAAGATGTCGGCTCAGTCATGTGATCAGCTGTGTCCAATCACAGCTGATCACATGTAAACAGGGAAATGCCAGTTATCTGCATTTTTCTCCTCACGAGCTGTCACGCTGACAGCTCGAGAGGAGTGGAGAGCCGGTAATCGGCATTCCGCGGAGGGGACATGTACACTGATCATCAGGGCACTGATGATCAGTGTGCCCTGATGATCAGTGTGGCCCCAGAAGTGCCCACCTGTCAGTGTCCATCAGTACCAGCTGCCAGTGCTGAACAGTACCACGTGTCAGTGCCACATCAATGCCACATATCAGTGTCTACCAGTGCACATCAATGCCACATATCAGTGCTCATCTGAGCTGCCTTTCAGTGTCACCCATCAGTGCCAGTCTGTGCCACCTATCAATGCCAATCAGTGCCACCTATCAGTGCTGCCAATCAGTGCCACCTATCAGTGCCAGTCAGTGCCGCATATCAGTGCCAGTCAGTGTCGCCTATCTGTGCCAGTCAGTGCCGCCTAACAGTGCCAGTCAGTGCCACCTAACAGTGCCAGTCAGTGCCCGCCTATCAGTGCCATATATCAGTGCTGCCTTTCAGTGCCCATCAGTGATGCCTGTCAATGCCCATCAGTGCCACCTACCAGTGCCTCCTCATCAGTGCCCATCAGTGCCACCTATCGGTGTCTATAAGTGCAGCCTATCAGTGCCCATCACTGCAGCCTCACTAGCGCACATCAGTGAAGGAGAAAAATCACTTATTTACAAAATTTTACAACAAAAACTAAGAAAAAACTTTTTTTTTCAAAATCTTCAGCGGTTTTTGGTTTGTTTAAGAACAAATAAACAACCCAGAGGTGATTAAATACCACCAAAATAAATCTCTATCTATCACAAAAAAACGATAAAAACTTCATATGGGTACAGTGTTGCATGACCGCGCAATTGTCATTCAAAGTGTGACAGCGCTGAGAGCTGGAAATTGGCCTGGGCAGGAAGGGGGTATAAGTGCCATGTAGACAAGCAGTTAAATATGTCTGGTAAATGTTCATGAAATGCTTTTACTCACCAACAGTGTTGATAAATGTGTGCAAATTTGATGTATAACCATGACAGATGTACTTGTAAATAAATGTGAAAAAAATTTCTTTTTAAATACTGTATGTTCAAATTTAAATGTATTAGCTCCAAACAATGGGTGCAGAGGGTAAATGTAAGGGAAGGAGTGGGATATAACAGGAAATATATTGCAGTATTCTAGGTAAAATCAATCTATTGCCATCTCTAAGCAGCAAATATCAAGCAGCAGCTATTACATTTGTCATATTAGAAATAAAGCTAATGTTACAGAGATCAGGATTGCAAAATGAAAAATGCAGATTTGAGGAAAACAGCAGTGAAAAAATACATGGGAAATATGCCACAATTGTGCCATGATCAGTGTTATAAATATACCCTTTAATTATGACATGATAAATATGGTGAAACTTAACCACTTGAAGTCTGCCTTAGGGCCCGTACAAGGGGTGGGCAGAAGGAACACTTGCCTTGGGCGGTGTCCTAATCTGTGGTGAGAGGGGCACATTGGGAGCTTTGGTCGCTGCTCCTGCCTCACTTTTAGGAGTGACTGTGCCTTATATCCACCACACGATGTACAGCTATTAATCATTCTCTCCTCCAGCAAGCTGCACTCCCGCCCCCAACTTGCTCTCCTTCCTGGGATACTTCCCTTTCTTCCTTGCCACTTGGTCCTGCTCATCTCCGCTCCACCCCCATCTACTGTACACCTCTCTCTACCTTGCCTGAATGATCATATAGTAAGTCAGCTCCAATCCTCCTTGCTCCTCTGCTTTGGGTAATTTTTCCCTTCTCCTTTTTATCTTCTGTCCCCTTCATAAATTTTCACTACAGATATCCTGCAGCCTCTGATCTAAGCTCAAGGCATTCCACTCACTAATCTGTCTGACATCCTTTCCATTTCAGTTTGCTTTGAGGTCTTCCAACTGTCCTGTCCCCATCATTCAGTCTAGCAAATTCTCTGCAGTCCATTCACTCTACTCTTCATTAACACATAATTTTACCACCCTAACCGCCTAACCGATTCACTCTTTTCACTCTTTTTCTTATCCCTAACAGCAGGTTCACACTGGTGTGCTATGGTATGGCTGCAGTGCAATTGTATGTGTGGTTTACCTGCAGTTTTAGGAGAGCTCCCATTAAAATCTATTAGACTGTGTTTTTTCATGAAAGCAAATCACAGCTCTGCAGGTAAACTGCATTTACAATTGCACTGCAGCCAATCCACAGCGCATCAGTGTTAGCCCGCTATAAGGCTAGGTTCACACGCTTGCATGTCAGGAACATGTACAAAATTGTGGCTTTTCTGACAAACACAGAAGCACAGCAGTGCCATTGATAGTTAACAGCACCCCCACACATCTGCTAACGCACACATTTTCACACATGCCAAACCACATGGTGCCACAGCAGCATGTGGGTTGGTGCAGAAAATTTTTAGAAAAAGAGTCATGGACTTTATTTTCCACATTTCTTGCCTGTAGGGAAGCCCATTGAGCAAAACATGCATGTGCACTCAGTCACATCTGTAGGCGTGAGCCTAGTCTAACTGTTTTTTTTTCTATTTTCTAATAATTCTAAATGTTATCACTCACAGTCTCTATGAAGCCTTAAAGGAGAAGTACAGCCAAAGCATTTCCACATTCCTGTGACACATTTTCAGCTGACAGTGGGCTAACATCACAGAGCTGGTCCAGGAGGGTGGGCACAATTTGCCAACTTCACCCTTGGTACTGGATGACCTTGTCCCAGTACTGGTCTTCCCTATAACAGTTCATCAGCAGGATCAGCCCTGACACCTGCCAGCACCTGTGTTTGGCCTCTCTGACACCCCCCCAGCAAGTGCAGTATCAGTAGATCACATTGCATACAAAGCTGCAGGGTTAACATGATCAGGCCTGATCTCTGCTAGCACTTGCAGACAAACATTTTTTGTAGCAGTTCAAGCAATCCCTGACAGCCATGAGTCACACTAGGTACCTATACATTTAGTGGCCAAAATGTCCAATGAAAGGTACACTAGTAAGAGGATTCTAAATATGTCAGATAAGAGTGAAGGTAAGCCTCACCGACAGAATCTGCTTCAAAATATGAACCTGTAGAGAGCAGCAGCACCCTGAGAGATAACTTAGACAATGCCCTGCTAAGGTCAGGCATACCCAAACCCATTCCCATGTTGCTGAGATATTAGAATTGCATGGTGATTTCTCATATGCAGCAGTGTGCCAGTACTAGTGCTGCACTACCTTTTGGTGAATTGGCGAGCACCAGTGGCTTAGTACATCCTGGTCTTTTACATACAAGCACTGCAGTATCACTTGGTTACATGGCAAGTCCCATAAGTGCAGTACAAGCCGGTGCAGTGGCTAGCACAAGTAGTGTCCCGCAGCCATCAAGAATTCAAACACAGGCCTGTAGAGCCCATAGTGTCAGCCCACAAATTCTGCAGCACCTGTACTTCCCCCATTCACTGTCCAACCTGGAATTCAGGTGGAAACAGCAAATGTAAGTACTCCCCTTAATTTTTTGGAGCTGTTTTTCACAGAAGATTTTTAGAATTTGATAGAGGACCAAAGCAATTTATACACAATGCAATATATTGCCACCAGCCCAAATTCCACTAGACCATTTGCATGGAAACCTATATGTTTTCTGAATTTAAAGTTTTTTGGGCCTAACTCTTACCATGGGCAACACTAGAAAGATTGAGTTGGGATCATATTGGTCCACAGACCCGATTCATCATATGCCCGTGTTCTCTGCTGCCATGGCCAGGCATACATATGAGAATATAATGCGATTTATGCATTTCAATAACAATACACTCCGTTGTCCTCAGGGTGACCCTGAATATGATAGCCTTCACAAAATTTGGCCCCTCGTAAATCACCTTAACCAGAAAGAAATTTGCAGATGTGTATATGCCCCAGCAAAACATCTCTGTTGATGAATCCCTCATTAGTTTTGCTGTCCGCCTTGCATTCAAACAGTTTCTCCCCAGCAAGTGAGAGGCTCACAGGTTGAAAGAAGATAGGGTGAGGAGTACTCTCCTCTGGATCGCCGGGATCTTTTCTAGAGGCAAAGCAATGGTGCTCTTGATTGTATCGAACTAAGCCACAAGGTACACAAGAGACTGAGGGACAATCAGTGTCCTGAACAGACTGTTTTGATGGTCCAATAGTCTGAGATAGAGCCCCAAACATAAAAGACTTAGTAGCTTTTCAGCTACACAAGGTCGGGTTTTTAGCAGACTTCTGAAGTGATGAGTGGCCTCTTCCCAGCTCTTCCTAAAATCCCAACCTGGTCTGTATAAGCTTGCATCTGTCATATGCTCTGAACTTTGTCTACTAAACTGTATCCTCTTCTAGCCTAGCAGGTGCCAGTCCTGAGGCAAAAACCCCACCTTGCCACATGTGGCCAGGGCTATGGTGCTATCAAGCTTACTGTCAAAAAGTGGAGTTCTCTCAAAAGGGATCTTACAGCACGCATGTTTAGAGGTAGGATCAGCAAGCCAAGGCCATAGCTATAACACTCACTTCAACATAACTGACAAGAGCATAACCTCTGCCACCAGGCAGATGATTGACAGATGAAGCCAGCTTCAGCTCTTGGACTACCCAGTTTCTGGCCACTTCATTTGAGAATGCTCGTAGAATACTTCGTCCACGTTCTCCTTCCAAATTTCCATCACTTTAAACATGTCCACGAGAGTCAAGTCCGTTTTACAGGCCTTTTACTACATCTTTCAGATGAAGATTGATATACTTTGCTCGCTTCAACAAGGCCTCAACAGCTAGAGAGGCAGCCTCTAGATGGTTCTAGATGCTTCACATCCTTATCCCTGGATGCATAGAGCTTGGTCATCTTGCTCAGAATGGAGGTCTTTCTCATGACCTTGTTCCACTCATCCACTCATCCAAAATTATGTCCCTTAGTTCTGTTAGGAATGGGAAATTAAAACGCTTTCTCTTGAGGTGCTTAAGGAACCTCAGTTTGCTTTGCAGGAAACTCCACAGGCTCTACTCATTTTAATGCCCCCTTAATTGCCTTGACGAAAAGCGTCTCTAGGGCAAAGTAAATCTCTTCTTCCACTGCCTCACTGTCTGAGGGCTTCATAGATGGATGGCTTGGTTGGGATGGTTCCAGATCTTCCTGGCTGTCCTTAGCAGAACAGCATACCATAACAGCTTTTGGACTTTTACCCCACTCTTTAAGGGACTCCTGCACCATGCACCTCACCAAAGATTCCATTTGCTTGTTATGACCATCCCTTTCTCCCAACTGCCTGGGCATAGCATGGCTCACACAAAGACTTGCCATCTCGGACCTGAGTCCCACCTCCCCAGCAGGCTCCTTCCTCTGAGCAGCTGACATGGCGGTGGGTGTGGTGTCTAGAGGAGGAATGAGAGTTTCTCTTGTGATGCCTGAAGCTTGATGGTGATCTATGGCTTTTAAATCTGAAAGAAGAATGTCGATGCTGTGACCTAATGAGATGTCTATCATCTCGTGCCGTATATTGACAGTCCAACCTGGAAGGAATGACAAAAAAACAAAATAGAGAAGAATGGAAAGCGTTAAAAACCCTATAAGAGTGCCTAGGCAAGCGAAGAAAGAAAAAGGTTAAACACACTCTCTCATACCTTCTATGCAAGGGATGGCCACAAGGAGGGGCTGTAACATATCCATAGTGTGATACTACACAGTCAGCCAACCTGCACAGGAGCCATTCAGCACAATTAGGATGCACCAGGATCACAGATAGGCAGCACACAAGGGTATTAATGCACAGCGTATACCTGTGATAATTACACACAGCATTTAAGGAAACTGCTGCAAGCTGCCCACAGGGAAATTCCAATATTAACAGCACTGACAGCTGTTTATGATGAATTCACCTTGGCTTTGGCTGTGGTTGCTGTCATCCTGATAGCAGGAAGAATGTAAAATTTCAGACACAAGGTCCTAGGAGGAGAACAAAATAAGAACATGGCCTCTGGCTCTGAGCAAAAATGTATGGGAGTGGGGTCCTATAGGATTGGAGAAGAGGTGGGGTTAGCCCACACGTATATTGCCATGGAGTCTTTCAGGAAATATTTTTTCTAACTAATGTTGAAATCCAACTGCAATGCCCTAAAATGTTTAAACATATAAAAACATAATTTTCACACATATACTACCTTTTGAATTTACTGCAGAGGATATCTCTATGCAACTGGTGCATGAGAAGGGTAAAGTAACCCTTTAAGATTTAAAATAGTAAAATTATCTTACTGTTTATTTTTATTGATTTACAAGGGGAAAATGAACCCAAGCAAAGTAAAATTTTGCATAATCACATAACATTGTTTACAAGCAAGCCTGCACTGACCACCTGAACTGTTGTTGTGCCCATTAAAAACTCTTAAAGTAAAAGTCTGACTGTAAAACAAAAAATACATTAACAAATTAAAAAGTTAAAAAAAAAACATAGTTTATTAAGATAAATATTATTGTTTCAGATTGTTACCCATTTGTCAGCTTATAAAAAATCTTCTAAAATATATTTGCTGCAAAATTTATTAAAACTATGTACCAAAAAAGACATTTATGTCCTTAAAAACATTGTAAAGATTTTTTGATAGGCAAATTAGTCTTATAGTTCAATTCATATTAACTGATACAAATGGATTCTGCTACAGTTTGGACTGCACATCTAAGCATTATTGGCCCTATTGATAAAAAGGATTAAACATAGCAAATATTTGGGTTGCTGTGTAAGGTACTTTTGTTTTCAGCTGAAACATCTCCAAAAGGAAATCAATTTTTGCTGTTGGTCATTGACTTATTTCCACAATCAGGAAAGTGAAAGCATCATAACAGGTTTATAATGAGCAATTAATTGAGTTTTCCTTTATTAGTCCAGCACATTTTACTTCTTTTTATTTTCTTGAAACAATAACTTGCTAGTGTGATCCCAATGGCTTTAATTATTATCTTTCTGTGTCTGCATGCACGTGATGTATAACTGCTAGATGAAAAATAAGCATATTTGTTTTTGACGTTTCACAATTATAAAAAACTACCATAACTCATATACGCTTCATTAAAAAAATGCCAAATAAATCAATTTCGCTAATTGGATTTATAAACAGATTGTTAGTGTTTGGATTGAGATAATGTTAAGCAACCAGAAATCATAAAATGAGTAGAGGGCCTGTAAAGAGTAATAAATTATTAAATCATGGTCATACTTTTAAATTAAATTATATTTATATAAAGAGAGAAAGTGGAGTAAAGAGATAAAGAGAAAGAGAAAGAAAGAAAGAGACATTTCATTAAGCTTTACAAAAAAGGATTTCCAGCTGTCTGAATAGGTCATTGGCTAGGATATCCCATTCTACCTTCTTTATTCTGGTTTCAAATGTTTTGCAATAACAAGACCTTACCACAGCAATACAGTGTGTAAAATCATATTTTTTTTAAATGTTTTATTTGTTCTAACAAAATGCCAAATGATATATGGTTCTGCTATAAATGCTGGACATCTATACATGATGTCTTACACTTTATACACTATAGGTTTGATTTTCTATAGGAGTAGAACAGGTTTCATGTTTCAGATTATTATTGATGAGCTGCCTCTAAAAAATGACTAGTTTAACGAGTCCAAAACTAGAGATATGTGAATTATACAGAGCTTAATTCATTTTTATTTCTTTATTTTCTACTTTCTTCTATATCTCTTTATTTTGTACTCACCTTTAAACCTGATACTGCATCTAAAATTGAGTACAGGTAACATACTGTACCATAATAAAAGAGTATGCTAAGTGCATCAGGTCTTTTTATTTACTCATACTAGTTAATATCCATTATCATAATATAGTGCAGCGCATATATCTCTATAACCTCATATATGAATTAAAGCATCCAAACCATGTGATTATGCAACAATAGTGAATACACTGAATACAACTTAAAAGTCCATAATGTGTGCTTGATCCGTGCCTTTATAATTTGTTCCCAAACAGGTGCTCTTTATTGCTTATATCCACATATATTCCTATAGGTGCTACTCCACCAGAGACATACATACCGTATTTTGCGCTCCATAAGACGCACCTGACCATAAGACGCACCTAAGTTTTAGGGGTGGAAAACAAGAAAAAAATTATTCTGAACCAATGGACTGCTGACATAGTACAGGAAATGACCAGAGACTGCGTACACAGTACAGGAGATGACCAGAGACTGTAGACACAGTACAGGAAATGACCAGAGACTGCGGACACAGTACAGGAGATGACCAGAGACTGCGGACACAGTACAGGAGATGACAGAGACTGCGGACACAGTACAGGAGATGACCAGAGACTGCGGACACAGTACAGGAAATGACCAGAGGCTGCGTACACAGTACAGGAGATGACCAGAGACTGTAGACACAGTACAGGAAATGACCAGAGACTGCGGACACAGTACAGGAGATGACCAGATACTGCGGACACAGTACAGGAGATGACAAGAGACTGCGGACACAGTACAGGAGATGACCAGAGACTGCGGACACAGTACAGGAAATTACCAGAGATTGCGGACACAGTACAGGAGATGACCAGAGACTGCGGACACAGTACAGGAGATGACCAGAGACTGTGGACACAGTACAGGAGATGACCAGAGACTGTGGACACAGTACAGGAGATGACCAGAGACTGCGGACACAGTACAAGAGATTACCAGAGACTGCAGACACAGTACAGGGAATGACCAGAGACTGTGGACATAGTATAGATGACCAGAGACTGCGGACATAGTACAGATGACCAGAGACTATGGCATAGTACAGGGAAAATACCAGGGACAAAGTACAGATGACCAGAGACTGCAGACAGTGCAGGGGATGACCAGAGACTGCGGACCTTTGGGGAGGGGGAGCGGGTACCTGAATTTGACAGGTAACGCTCCCACTTCCGCGGAGTTGTCCTTCCATCTTCTTCCCGCGCAGGCTTCTGTGACAGAGCCGGGTGCCCACTGCGCATGCGCGAGAAGCACTGCGCTTTGTGAATAGCTCGGCGCCTTCTGGGACCTGTCATGTTTCCCAGAAGACACCGGACCATTCACAAAGCGCAGCGCTTCTCGCGCATGCGCAGTGGGCACCCGGCTGTCACAGAAGCCGGCGCGGGAAGACTGTACAGCGCTGGAGCGAGGAACAGGTAAGGTCCTGCAAGAGAGAAGAGCTGAGCGGCCAGCCCGATATTCTGACATGGTGGCGGCAGAAATACCGGACCGGCCGCTTTATATTCGCTCCATAAGACGCACTGATATTTTTCCCCCTCTTTTGGGGGGAAAAAAGTGCGTCTTATGGAGCGAAAAAATACGGTATATACTCTCACCTCCTTTTATGACCCAAATTGCATGGGGCAAATACCGCCTACATGTGTAGTATATAAATATAGCTTAATTTATTAAAAAAAACAAAGTGCACTCACATTTAAAAGTGTCCTGCTGGGACACCACAGTAAAAAACTTTGTTATAATGTAGTTTCAATGTGTTCAGGAATTTCCAAGATGGCAGCTCGTAAACTTCCTAGAGTGGGACAAAGATGTCAAGCTGCTAAACAGGAAGTTTATGAGCCGCCATCTTGGAAATTCCTGAACACATTGAAAATACATAATAACAAGGTTTTTTGCTGTGGTGTCCCAGCAGGACACTTTTAAATGTGAGTGCACTTTGTTTTTTTAATAAATCATGCTATATTTATATACTACACTATGGCAAGCGTTTCTGTTTCCATATGCGGAGGATACGTGGGATAAAGAGGAGACAGGACTGTTTGCAGCAGAGTGAGGAGGAAAGTGGAGTCATCTACACCGTATACCTACCCGGGTTAAAAGGGAAAGGCAGTATTTGACCTATGCAATTTGGGTTATAAAAGGAGGTGAGAGTATATACAGGTGAAACTCGAAAAATTAGAATATCGTGCAAAAGTTCATTTATTTCAGTACTGCAACTTAAAAGGTGAAACTAATATATGAGATAGACTCATTACATGCAAGGCAAGATAGTTCAAGCCATGATTTGTCATAATTGTGATGAATATGGTTTAAAGCTCATGAAAATCCCAAATCCACAATCTCAGAAAATTAGAATATTACATGCAATCAATAAAACAAGGATTGTACATAGAACAATATCGGACCTTTAAAAAATATAAGCATGCATATGTACACAGTACTTGGTTTGGGCCCCTTTTGCAGCAATTACTGCTCAATGCGGCGTGGCATGGAAGCTATCAGCCTGTGACACTGCTGAGGTGTTATGGAAGACCAGGATGCTTTAATAGTGGCCTTCAGCTCTTCTGCATTGTTCGGTCTCATGTCTCTCATCTTTCTCTTGGCAATGCCCCATAGATTCTCTGCGGGGTTCAGGTCAGGCGAGTTTGCTGGCCAATCAAGAACAGTAATCCCACGGTCATTGAACCAGGTTTTGGTGCTTTTGGCAGTGTGGGCAGGTGCCAAGTCCTGCTGGAAAATAAAGTCAGCATCCCCACAAAGCTTGTCTGCGGAAGGAAGCATGAAGTGCTCCAAAATCTCCTGGTAGACGGCTGTGTTGACCCTGGACTTAATTAGATACAGTGGACCAACACCAGCAGATAACGTGGCTCCCCAAATCAACATAGACTGTGGAAACTTTACACTGGACTTCAAGCATCTTGCAGTGTGTGCCTCTCCATTCTTCCTCCATACTCTGGGTCCTTGGTTTCCAAATGAGATGCAAAAGTTGCTCTCATCAGAAAAGAGGACTTTGGACCACTGAGCAACAGACCAGGTCTGTTTTTCTTTAGCCCAGGTAAGACGCTTCTGACATTGTTTGTTGTTCAGGAGTGGCTTGACAAGAGGAATACGACATCTGAAGCCCATGTCCTGGATCCATCCGTGTGTGCTGGCTCTCGATGTACTGACTCCAGCCTCAGTCCACTCCTTGTGAAAGTCCCCAACACTTTTGAATGGTCTTTTCCTGACAATCCTCTCCAGGCTGCGGTCATCCCTGCTGCTTGTGCACCTTTTTCTTCCACACTTTTCCCTTCCACATAACTTTCAATTAATGTGCTTTGATACAGCGCTTTGGGAACATCCAACTTCTTTTGCAATTCCCTTTTGAGGCTTTCCCTCCTTATGGAGGGTGTCAATGATGGTTTTCTGCACAACTGTCAGGTCAGCAGTCTTTCCCATGATTGTGATTCCTACTGAACCAGACTGAGAGACCATTTAAAGGCTCAGGAACCCTTTGCATGTGATTAGAAATCCTCCTGCGCTTTTATGGACAACCCCCCTCCTCCTAATTAATGTGCTGCTAACACTCAAACCAATACCCCTAATCAGTGTAGAAATATAAATAAATTAGTGTAGCGCTTAAACATAAATAGAACAAAACCATTAATGATATAAATAATAATTAATGTGACAAGTGCTGTAATCTTCTCAGTGCTCATAAACCACTAAGTGCCACTCTATTACAAATAAAATAATAAAAATATATATTTTGTGATAGTGTCACTTCAAACAAAATAAATCAATATCGGGTGACGGTGCCACTTCAACTTCATTCAATGTCCAATATTCCAATTCACATCCATCTATTCAAAGTGTTCTTTATATACATGCATAGTGTTTGTAGGTAGTGCCACTCGTGAACCAACACACTTCTATCCACTTCGGCTGCAGTGCCTGCTCACCTCCTTCCTGCGACCCCAAGGGGCCCACAAGCCTTTAGAATCACCCTGGATCCTCAAAATTCCTGGTTTTGGCACCTTCCTGATATTCCTCCTATCAGGCCTCCTCCACTCCTTCACTGCTATGCCTCCCAGGTTCCTCACCAGCGATTGTCTGCAAGCTCTCTCTCACCAAGATAGTGAGTGAAAAAACAGATCCTCCATTGTGTAGTATTTCCAATCAGTAGGGTTTATTCACAAATAGCAAAAAGAGTGACTTACATTCGGTTGTACAGCCTCAATACGTCCCTCTATGGGTGAACTGCAACCTCTGATAGTACTTCCTGATAACCAGGAAAATGGCGTCCCACACCGGAAGTGCGACACTCCGGATACCGGAAGTAGCGTCTACGTTTTGCCTACGCGTTACGTCACGTACCTCGTGACTTCTTCTGGGTATCGCTATGGAGACGCAGTTTTCTTTTATACTGCGGTGGAAACAACTATCCCGCCCTTTGATCCCCATTCTAATTGCGGCCGCCATTTTCTTGGAGCCTAATTATAGGGACATATATGATAATGCTCTACTAGTGTAACTTTCCTCTTGCTAATCTTATGATCGCAATCTACAACATATATAGGCTTTCTTCTAAAGACTAGCCACTACGTAACAGACCTAATTAAAATACCTTTATTCGCAATTAGTAAATAATTAAAAATACATATAAAATATATAATGATAAAAAATATTGTACCCATAGCATTTAACATAAAACTAAATGAGAGACCCATAATCCACAATGGTCTCCCAATCCAGTCTATAGCCCAGCTACACATTATAGAATAGATCCTATACTTAAAAAGCTCAAAATAAATTATAATCGAAATATATTAAAAACAGTAAAAAATCAATAGAACTAAACCCATCTCTCTACATAACATTCAATTAATATAATATAATGTGGGCAAATCTAAATACTTGATTAAATATTTTTTAAAATAATTTTTTTTTTTTTTTTTTTTTAAAAATACATTAATAATACACAATAAACTCTTCTTACTCGAATAACTAATCATATATATAGATAAATCCATAAACTACCTGAGTATGCAGTTTCCCCATATATTAAAATTAAAATAAACAGTCACATCTAAGAATCAATCAATCAAGCAAATTAATAATCATTGATAAAAGAATTGAGATCAAACTCAACATTTAGGCCTCTCGGGACTAGCGTTCTCATGTCATGTATCCAGCGTGACTCAGCTTGGCTTAATTTTTTTATCTTGTTGCTGCCTCTCCAATGCTTTTTGTATTTCTCTATACCCCAAAACTGCATTTTAGCGGGGTCCTTATTATGGTACTTAGAGAAGTGTTTTGAGACGTTATGCTTTGGGAATCCTTTTAAAATATTTCTTACGTGCTCTCCTACCCTCTTCCAGAGTGGTCTTTTTGTCCTCCCAATATATTGATAACCGCATTCACACTGTAGGCAATATACCACTCCCATAGTTTTACACGTGATGAAGTCTTTAATATTGTGTTCCTCTCCAGTTGTGTTCACTATAAAGTTTTTACGTCTGCCACTTTTCGTGGCCCTACAGCCGACACACTTTCTACATGGGAAAAAACCTTCTTCACTCAAAAAAGTTAATTTATTCATTTGTGGGGGGTCTAATACACTTTTTACCACCCTAGATTTAATAGTAGAGGCTTTTCGATAAATGAACCTTGGATTATTCTGATAATACCGTTGTTAGCATGGGATCCAACTTCAGGACATTCCAATGTTTAGTAAATATTGACTCTACTTTTTAAAATGGACATTATAGTCCATAATAATAGGTATATTATCCTCCTGGATTACTTCTCTCTTTTTTTCCTCCAGAAGTGTATCTCTATCCATATTTCCTACCTCTGTAATTTTCTGTGTTATCATATTTTTTGGATACCCTTTTTCTATAAATCTAGATGCCAATCCTCCTGCTTGTTCCAAATAATCCTCATATTTTGTACAGTTCCTCCTTATTCTTACCATTTGCCCTTTTGGTATATTGTAAAGCCAGGGCGGATAATGGCAACTTCCCATTGGTATGTATCCATTTCTATCAACGTTTTTAAAAAATGTTTTCGTTATACAATTGCTTTCTACTATTGTTATATTAACATCCAAGAAGTTGATCTGATCCTTACTGTGTTCCCA